TGGTTCCCGTTGGGTGCGATAGTGCTGTGATTCTTGAAGTTCATGGCTCCCCTTCCACGCTTAAGAGAAGAATCTTGTCCCCCATCATTCCCTCTGGTCTCGAATCCAAGCTGTTCTGCCACTCTTTCAGCGTCAATGTTGACGTATGATCTGTAGTCGGAAATTTTGAAAAANAAAAAGGTGCAATATCCTCCAAACTGATCCTCAGCTTCACGTTGTTAAAGATGCGAGAGGAATTTCGAAGATTTATTGGCCACATATTTTCAACCGGTGAAGCCCGACCCAGCTTGTCAAGTTTCAGTACAAATAGACGTTGGTGACTAGTCGCACTTTACGTGTAAACCATTGTCGGCTTGTTTCATTAGAAGGAACGTCCATGTCAGTTTGTCTTAGCCGATGACTACGCATTTTTTCTATATGACCTGCATTAGGCGAATAATTGAAGTGATACCTCAGAAGAGTGCAAAAATGGCAAAGAAAACGCAAAAACCAGCGTATAAATAAATATGAGGCTTCGGAAAAGTAGTGAAGTGGACAAGAATGAATGCGGAAGTTGTGTGGAAGGAGCATTTGAGCGAGCTGTCCAACTTTGTGTGCCAATGCGCACGGCTGGCTACAGTAAGCTGCTTCCATGCAACATGTGCTTCCCGTTGTTGCCACTTTTAAAGCCTCTACAATGCCATGAGAACTCATTCGCCTTCGACTATACTGATATCCAAATTTATCCCGGAGAAAAACTTTGAGATCAGTAATTGATAAATTTTCAAATTCATTCTTCAAGCGTGCTGGTTGCTGCGATCAGACACCTTTGAAACCTGACCCTAAGTGCATGAGAAGGCCCACTAAAAAACAAATAGAACAAATAGAACATTAATACAAATACCTACTCTATGATACTTGGCAAGGAGCCCTTTTACAAGTTCAACTATTTTATCCATATATAGATCTACATGGATGGTCAGACACCATATTCGGATATGAGCGTTGCTGAAGTCACAGCTAGCGTAAGATATTCTCGTAGAAACGTTTTCTAGAGTTACCAAGTTTGATTTATTTCTGTTGATGTGATACGTAGCATGAAAAAATAATTTATTGAAGATAACGGCTGGATATCGATTATCGCCTCCAGAGAAAATGCCAAAAAGTGTTCGCAGCATTATGACGAAACTTTGTTTCCCAGGAAACCCTGACGAGAGGAGCCGGATGTCTGAGGTGAATGCAATTTTATTTTCGATAAGGTTGGCTCCGACTGCGTACGCGAGGGTCGAGATCGCAGTGTAGCAGATCATTTGCTTTTTACTGCCTATTGATAAGGCAAAGTGAGGGCGATGTCATCGGTAACTAGCTAATATCTAAATTTACAATTGCGACAACCGTACCGTGCTATAAGTCATAGGTTAGAAAAGAAGGTTGCTTACCAAGCGGTTCTGATTTTTTGACGGATTACATCGACGACAATGTTGAAGTGAAAGATTCGGGCAAACGGTATTTGTACTTGATCTGAGAGCAGATGTTCATCAGTGTATGAAAGTCAAGCTTCAAAACGGCATCATCTTGAATGCCTCTGCCGCGCCGTTGCAGTCATCTCTCTATATATAGAGCGCTAACTTTGTTCAAAGTCAACGGCAATAATTAGGGATTCGATGCCGAATCCATGTCGTTATCTTGCGACCCCATTCGTTTTCGTCTATTTCACAAATCTTTAGAGCCCATTGTGACTTCCTCATATGCGCTTGCTTTGTGCATTCGCTTAGCTTCGTGAGTGATCTCACTTTTTCGTTGCTCCACCGATCCAGCGCTATCAATCGCGGCATTTTTCTTTCCACTTCCCTTCAGCCAAGCCAACATTGCGATTTCTGACTTTTGCAACGACCACGTCTCCGCTCCGTAAAGCGCTGATAGCTTAACACAGGAATCGAAAGCTCTTTTTAAGTGGGGAGGAGGACGATATATTCGCCAAAAAAATACTCAAGCTTTTAACCTCAACTGATCGGCCAAGGGGAAAGAACAGGTGACAGCCAAGGTAAAGGGCGTCCCAACAAAGTTGGATGTCTTTCCATCAGTGCAGATTGGGTTCCTGAATGTTTCACTGTTCGTGAGTAGTGCAGGCTTTTCAGGATTCGGAATGAGTCCGACTTTAGTGGATGCTTTCAGCAAAAGTTGAACCATCTTTTCAAGCATCGAATGTGATAAAGCCAGCGAGTAGCGTGACATCATCTGCATGTACAAGACTGGAAAGTACTTCACCTCCGATCCTTAGTCCACACGTTCCTCATTCCATAGATCCGGGTACCATTTGCAAAGTGGCAATGAAGGGTTTTGGGTTCATTGTATCTTCTAGTCTAATTCCTCTTGAGGAAGAATATTCGATAATCAATATTCGCTATTCTATGCTACGCGGATAACGAAATATTCAACCTCAAACCTGAGTAATTACACTTTATCTACTGTTAACAACAAACTAACATACGCTATCAACTATAATACCTGATAATTATCAAACACTCGAATTACCTTGAAGCCATAAATATATTAAATGAGTAAACGAAGCTCAGCCACCTGTCGGTCTGAGCCAGAGCGCTCGATGACAATATCATATGCGTACCATAAATAAAATTACTTCTATAATGCTTATAGTGCTAGATAGGAACAACTATGGTGCATTCTCCTAAAGTAATTCAAGTAATCACGACAATGTGAATTGGAAGGTAATTCTGAAGGAGAACAAGAAAAAAAAGCGAAAAGCTCTCTTTCACCTACCGCATCCCATTTATATACACACAGCGTTGGCATGAACGACATCGAACATGGGAACAATCTGATAAAATGTCAACATCCGCCGGTCGACTGCGATACAGAGCTAATAAGTTAAAGACATGTTGAGCTATAAGAACAGCATGTTACAGTCGATTACAAGAACCTTCCGGATTAATCAGATAACACCATCAAAAAACCCTCAAAGAGCAAGGGTAATATCATAGTGCAACGAAAATTAAGTTATTGGGCAAAATCACTTATTGTGTAGGAAGGATACTGAACGATTCAGTATACCTCTCATAGATCCTTTGTAACACCACTGTCAGCTCTGGATGTACACCCCTCTTTGCAAAGGCTATTCATACTGCGGACCACTCTAGCTGTCGAAAGCTTCTCTTTAATCAACAAGAGCAACATGGAATGACAAATTATATTCAGCGCTCTTCTCCACGAACACAGCCTGAGTTTAGCTCTTCGTCTCCTCTAGCTTTCATCCGATTCGGGATGATTCCTGTGATAGCTTTCAAACTCCAGATATCCCAAGACGGGTTGAAAGAGGGCGAATTTTGCTCCATCAATGCAGATGGGAAGGCATGGTTTGGAGGAGGAAGGGGTGAAAAAAGGAAAATTCATAGACGACTTGTAAAGCTTATTGTGGTAAGAGGGCCCTGCAATAGCTGATGCTCTTTGCGAACACGAATTCGCTTCCATTGGTTCCAGTGGTCGGGTCCTTCATCATTAATTTTCTTTTCCTTAGGAATCCTTTCCGTTGCGCTTCAATTAGGCGTCCTCCCTTCTCGTTTTGGCTCTACTGTGATCTTTCTCCTATGGATATCCTCGAGTGAAGCAAGCCTGGCATTTTTGCATATTGTAGAATTAGCGACGAAAGTGACGTCAAGAAAGGGTTGTTTCGTAATGCTATCGGACAGAAGGATATGAGTCCCAGGGCTTAATCTTGGAGGGTCAACATCTTTCGTCCAGCATTCGTCTGCAGCCATCTCTACGAATAATCGAATGCTGCCGTACGATTCTTGCGCACCTCTATGATGAGGTTGACCGGAGAGGTAGTTGGATCGGATCTTATACAACCTGCGGTCAAGTCGAAGGCAGATGAAGGAGGACGATTCGGACCCGAATTGTTGCTAGTGTTTTCACGGTAACCATTTGCATGTGAACAAATCGATGATCAGGATCAAACAGGAAATGGTTTACGATTCCACAGTCGAGGACGGTTGAAGTCAGAGGAGAGCATATGAAGTCATAAAGTTGTATTCTTATGTTAGTATTAGAGTAGCGCTCAAAAGTCTTCGTCCAAACGCTTTTTCAACTGTACATTTCAGTTGTAACTCCTTTCCTGCTAGATCTAATCATGCGGAACCTCAATATGTGTAGCATGGGGGCATTGTGAATATTTACCACTACCAATCTTCAATTTGATCATGATGCAGATATCCTAAAGGGCTCGAAGTCAAAATCAACTGGAAATACGAAAGATGATCCTTCTGGAATTTCTTTCCTTTTTGCCATGTCTAATGAGCACGAATGCTAATGCCGAACACAGAAGGGAAGAAAGGCGCACATAAGGTGCGAATAACTGCAGACGTCGCTAACTTTGCTTTCAGACCTGCTACCGCAACAAACACCTTGCTATAGTTATGTGGATATTGCTGCTTTGCGGTCAAGTAGTATTGGAGAGTGTGAAATATGCTCCAGTCGAACATATCAAAATTTCGCGCGATTTACTCCACTAAGTAAGAAAAAAGTTATGAACGCAAAAGCGTAAGAGCTTCCAAAGACTTTTGAGCGCTGCTGCACTGTATCGTAATGTATTAAATACGCTACATTAGATTATACTGCAAAAAACACATAATATAACCATAACATCATCATACACAGAGATGAACACAGAAAAATGGACAGATGTTGCCAATTAATGTGACTTTAGCGAGAGCATTAATCTGTTCTTCCAGGCTATAGCGTACAATTGATGAAGACAACATAATCTCATAGGAATGCAATCTTCTTGCTATTCCTGTGATTCTCCTCCACTATCAGTATGGTCATAGCTGCAGATTTTTGACAATGACTAGTAACGATTCCGCGCCCACTTGACCCACACCAGTTACTATCAGCTAAGCTTCCGCGGCATCTAATCCCTGACTAATGTCATTGACTTTTACTGACTTTTATGCAAGCAGAGCGGTCATCACATCCATGATCGCTCCTCGCAGTAAGATAATTCTTTAGTGGAAACATGGAATGCTGACCGAATGCAGTTGAAGGACTACCCACAAAAAGTATTTCGTTAAGGGGAACCAAAGGCAAAAGGGAAACGCTAAACGTATGCGCTTAGGAGTATAAGCACGTTGTTTTCCAGATACGATGCGCGCTTGAAGATGTGCTGCAACCTCAGTCATGACGATAAGCCTGGAGACTACTTTATCGGTATTGATAATTAGTTTTTTGCACATGACCAACTAATTTATCACTTGTAAATGATCTACAAAAATCTTTCATATGTGAAATGTATAACATTTCACTCGATCCCGATAAACATTAAATACTATTGTGGAGAATCGAGAAGTATGAATTTTACACATGATGCCGGTAAATATTAAGTGCTATGGTGGAGAAATAAAGATTTCTCCCTAATGTTACAACGAAGCGTTAATTGTTTTACATCAGATGGCAATTTACAATAGACCTCGCTCAGGAGCTCTTTTTCCTGCCCTATTAGTTATTCTCCAAGCCTGATGAAAAAAACCAAGTCTTATGAATGTCGTGTGAAAGCCTTATGGGAAAACGAAGGAATCTTTTTACCTGAGAGACAGCGATGTTTTACTTATGCTGGCGTAGATTCCACAATTACGGGTAAAGATCATGTGCCCGAACGATTGAAACAAGAAATTCTGCCAACCTTGAACTAAATACGTTGAAAAATCTCTCCTATCGTAAAGCTCAGGAAAATGTGGCCGCACAAGAACAGATTGCTTTTATTGGTTGAACAAGGTCATGCTGAATATTGTCTCTTTGATTTAGTTGTTTTTAAGGAGAACTCAGTTTTTTCAGCGGTGAAATTAAATACCAGCATTCAATCATCAAGGTTAGAAATTGAAGCAGGGAGGGCCGAGCGATCTGGAGTGCATGCCCATAACTGGATTAAAGACAGTCCGTGCTAAACATTACCTTGGCAGATGCTATGTTCTACACTGTTTGCAAAAGTTATATGTACTAGCTGGAGAATCAGGCTGACAGGCGACTAATGAAGCTCTAACGTAGTAGGAAAGCTTTTTACAGTAGCACACCTACCCAATGGTGAAGCTATTACGCGCCCTAGATTAGCCCGCAGGCTTCAGGTTGGACCCAAATTGTGCAATGGCTCATCGGAAAAATCTGAACAATTGAAGGATGTGTAAAACGACCGATCCCTATCGTTCCGAAAATGCAATGGGAAAAATCAAAATTTCGGAATTGAGAGAGTCCTTCAATGGAGTTCCAACGAAAAATTTCTTTGCAGCTGTAGGTCACAAAAGACAAGAAGTTCCGCTCAATTCTTCGACATTGAATTACTATACTTGAGGAGGGCCAGCTAAGCGCAGAAGCACAATTTGGTTGTCTAAATTTTAAAAGGAACATGAAACCTTCCTTGGATGAGTCTGACTGCGTCCACCTCGAAGCTGCGTGAAATTCTAAGCAACCAAAAGAAATGCCCCTTTTTCAGAGATGTAGATCAGCCTTATGAAAGCAAGCAACGGATTATTTTCATAGCGGGCGAGTGATGGAGAGCTGACAATTTGAACTGACTGAACTCTGCTTCCGAATCCCAAGGAGCCTTACTTGACTAGTAGGAAGTGTACAGTCGCCTACCGCGACCAGTGCCATGAATAACGAGTACTGAAGATGGTTCCAAAGCTTAGATTGAGGATATCATGACTGCTGTTCTCATTCCTCATCTCGATCTGCCGAGATCAATCGGCTTTCTAAGACATCAAGGATCAACTCCAGATATTTCCTTTTCCTGAATTCCTCTTTCTCGAAATGGTGTGGTTTCTGTATACAAAGTGTTCGCGCATGTCTGCTGTGTGTCTGTCTGTCTGTCTGTCTGTCCGTCGTCAATTACCCTGATACGAAACGATGTCCCGATCTCATAACTGAAAATGAGTTGGCTAGTTGAAAGTTTGAGTTAAGTGTTCTATCATTGATAAATCAGACAGCAAGAGCTGAGTCAACCACCAAAAATACTTCCAGCAGTGTAGGCCTCATTTCAAGACTTGGGACCCTTCCCTAGTGATGAGAAATTCTGGCAACCGACTGGCTTTTGCACAGTTGCAAGAACTCTTATGACCATCCCTTTTATCGAAATCAATGTGATATGAATAGTGAGCCGGGCTGACCGCTTTCATACACAGGACAGTGACGGTAAGACTCAGCTTCATTCCTCAAGTGGCAAAGGTTTTTTAGTTGAGTTGCGAATACGTCTCAGAATTTCTAAGGTGGGCCAAGGACATGATGGGAATAGTGAACACGTCCTAAGCTTGTTTGAACGTTTTAAGAAGATGGATGAGACGACGTCTCAGGCCGCTGAAGTCAATATATCATCCATGATATGCTAGCGTTGCTACCGTTACTCAATTATCACATCACTCATANAGATTATCCACCCCTTCTCAGCTTCATACTTGTTAGTTTTTCAAACAATGGTGAATTTTTGATGCCTTGTTCCCTCCCTTAACATGAATGAAACAATAAAAATGTTTTGCAACAGACAAACAGCTAGTAAAGCGATCAAGAAAGCCTTTTGTCCTTTTTGCAGTGCGGATTTGGAGGATTTGGAATTGCGAATGCAGAAATCGCGATTGAGTTCGATTTAGGACTCGAACCTTTTTCGTGCTCCTCTCGCTTTCCTCTTCGCTGCAGAAGCACCAGAGCAATAGTTCCACCTTAATTGAATCCGAATCTCGAGTCCTTCCCCCGTTGAATGTGATTTCAATCTTTAGTTACATGCTCAGTTACATGAGTTACAGAAATCAGACGTCTTGAGACCAGCTCACTGCCTCTTGTACAATTACTGCACTTTTAAAAGCAAACACAGTACGAATTTAGTATGCAGCAGCCTTCAGTAATTGGTGCAAATCGGAAGAAAGTGAACAATTACAATGGCATTTTGACTATGGACCCCGAAAAGTGCACCCGACTTCACCTCAACTTGCCAATACTTCATGCAACTTTTGCCGTCGCACTCTCCCCCACCCCCTAATTCTAATACTTTTTACAAGATTTATATCTCTCTGTAGACGCTGATTTTCGTGTTTTCTTCTCCATTTCGAAGCTGCTCTGAACTATCATTTCCATTATTCGTCTAAAACTAGATACCCAATAATTATCGGGAACTGTGCCTTTGATCAAGTGATTTCCGCCTGCACAAACAGGCAGTGAACGCGTTCATGGATAATTCAATTAACGCCTCAGAAACTATCAATGGAAAGAGGGATCGTGCATCATGTTGCAGGAACCGCCCATTTACGTAGAAATATCTACACCCCTATCCACTTGTCATTAATCGGATAAATGAGAGAAAAAGAAGACTTGATCTCAACGTAATGGGAATCAGCCGACTGAGAATCCATTGAAATGTTCTCCAAAAACCCAACAACAAACAATTATGTTAGAACTTATTCCGATGTTGCGATGAGAAAACTTCTATCTTCAGTTCCAAAAAGCATGGCTGGGAACTTTTGCACTGTACATCTCCTTACATGCAGCATTGCATGAATACTGTCTAACAGGGGAATAATCCTGTGTGAAGGCACACCATTCCTTTCGAGACATCTGGAATTCGCTTTTGTTCCTCTTTTTCTACGGCTTTACACACTGATGTGAACTCTCTATTAACAGGTTATTCCAAAGCAGCTCATCTCAACTTCGCAAGAACTATGACAAGTGACTGTTGGCAAACTAGCGCTCGCCTTCTCCGAATAGCAATGTCAATTCTATTTTGACCGGAAAGTTTGCATGCCATTGAAGTCGAGTTTTTAGTATTAGTACGAGTTTTTTTCAGTTGAGTCGTCTGATTGTAAGCTGACGATTCGTTTCACCGTACGAGCTCGTGTATATTTTATACGTATTTGGACAATCTGGATAGAAATTCTGAAGAGAGGCTGGTTAGTGCCCCACTCACAAGAATCAGCCCAAGTAGATGAAAAGTTCGTCTGCATTGGTGCTGTTTTGCCTGCCCATGACAACTTCAGTATAAACTCTCTGCCCTTGTATCTCTCTTGTTCCTCTCTTTGTATATTACAACCAGTCGGGTCGCCCGGCGTACGCCGGGCCTCATTACTTACTTTTACCAAGTACTTAGAAAGTGTAGTTAGGAGGGGGGCATCGATTTTATTCAACACTGAGGGCTACAGTACAGAGGAGGGGTAGCGACCCGACCTATACTTAGAAAGGGTTCTAGGCGACAGTATATGGTTCCAAGCTAAGTCTCAAAAGGAAAGGAGCGGCGGAGTAGGGGTGACAAGATTATCTCGTACAAAAAGCTAGGAGCTAGGGGTATGAGTTATATATTCAATTGAGTCACCCACTTCGTACCCCTTCCCTCCTCTAGCAAAGGTCAAAAACTGTATGTTCTCGGCTAAGAAACGCTAATGAGCACTATTATGGGCTAAGTCCCTTATGTTGAAATTATGTTGAAAAAATCGGGGTCTCTCACAAGGAAAGTCTTTCAGGGCGTGGGACGCTTTTTGAAAATGTTTTTTTGCATGATAAAGGGGCATGAGCACTGAGCATAGAACTATGGTCCATTTCCGCTAAATGGCCATCTGAATGCCAAAAAAGGAGTGGAATTG